CAGTAACTGATGAAACAACAAGATTTTGGGTTTGGTTATGGAAACAAAACCTTTAAAAGACCTGCTGATGTGTTAATTTTAGTTGTCTTAGTGGAAGAATAATTGTGTGCCCCATTTCTCAGTGGTTTGACCACTCCACCTGGCACCTCAAACCATGCAGGTGTCAAGGCCTTTCCTGCTTAATGGCCTAAATAGAAATAATAAAATAAACACATAAATAAAAATGGTGGGGAAGGTGGGAAGGGGAAATTCCTGGTACCTTGCAAGCTATGGGGAGAAAGGGACTGGCAAAGTCTTTAGTGATGGATGGGAGAATTACCAATTCCGCAATTGCTCATTCTCCAGCCAGGCACCTGCTACTCCACATTCACTCACTCTTCACTATCCTCTGACTGTAAAGGCACTTTCTGCAGATGTCAGAGGATGAAAAAAATGTACTAAACACTACACTAATAGAAGAAATCTCATTGCAATTGTTTATCCACTCTTTGGGTAACAAAATTAATTTGGGGAAGTATGAGACACAGGGTGAACTGGGGTTGACCAAAAGTGAGTAACAAAAATGTAGTAACCTCCTGGAAAAAGATTTGTCTCCTTTCCAAGTGAGACACAACATTCCAAGGACTATCTCAAACATTATTACAGAATCACCTGACCTTAAAAGTACTACTTTTTAAAACCTTTTCCTACCCTGTACTTCACTCAAAATAATCCAGAGTTCTCTGCCTCTCATCACAAGTACCTGCTTCTCATCTTTGCACTGCAGGAAACATCACAGGCTAAAAATCTTACTTTAGAAACAGGCTTTTAAAGAATTCCTAAGTGCAAGAACTGCATTTAAAGAAAAAGCAGAAATGAGAGGAACGTACTTGGCAGGGACACTGACCTAGCAGGAACTTCAGCTTGAACCCCAAGTTGAAGCACAAAACAATTCTTCTCTTTTGAGGGTACAATCAAACCCTTGCACAGAAAGTCCCAACTATTTGATGCTCCAGAAAGAGAAAACTTCACAGATTTAGTGGGAGCAGACATAAAACTTTCAAGGACCTCAAAATGACACTGTTCCTAGAGGAAATCCAGGACAGGCTCAGCTCCCACATAGGTAAGGACAGGAAAGCAGGAGGAAAAGGCCTTCTGCTGTGGGCTGGAGAAAGAAAAGTGAGTGGAGGTATGGCCAGTTCCATCTGCTGGAGTTTTCAGCTCTTCTGAGTTTACACCACAGCCAACCCCAAAGTCCCCCCAAAACTGAGGGACCAGGCTGCTCAGGGAAACAGCCTCTGAATTCCCAGTCTAGAACAATCCAGTAAAACCAGAGCACCAGAGTGGTAAGGGGAAGCAGGGCTCTCTGGTAGTGTTCCAGGCTGGGTTGGACAGGGCTTGGAACAACCTGGGACAGTGGAAGGTGTCCCTACCCATGGATGGAGTAGCCTTTAAGGCCCCTTCCCACCCAAATCATTCCACAACTCTGTGATACACCATGCCCAGATGTTCTTCCACAACCACCAAGTACCCACCACAGCCCAGCCCTGCTAGAGGAGGCCTGGAGTTTCCCCCCATAGTCCTTGTGTTTATTTGAAATGATGCTCTTGCCCCCAGATAACTTCCCCAGACAGCCTCATTGCTTCCAGAAAGTAGGTCAGTGTCATTTAAAGCCGCCTTGAAACGCATCTCCACAGAAACTTCTTAATCTTTAAAAAGAGAACGCATCAAATATTTATCGGGTGGTGCAAAACGTTGGGAGATGCTCACAGGGAGAGCTCTTCTGTGTGTGTGTGCTGCATGAAATGGCTTTCCATGCCTCGCTGAGCCGTGGAGCAGGGCAGGAGAGTGGCTGGGTGCAGATAAAGCCCCGTACAAAAGTCCTTATCTGCCCAGCAAATCGCTGTACGTGACTCCCCGACTCGTTCTCCCGGTGCCATGTGATCCCAGAGCTCTCTGCTTCCTCCAGGAGCTCCTCTCAGCCCTGATGATCCCTTGCTGCAGATTTTTCCCTGTCAGCCAGGCAGCTCATTCTGAAAACTTCAATATTCCTAATTATCAAACATTCAGCACTGCAAGATGTAGCTGAAATTTGCATCTCTGCAAGAGTGGCTCTGAAGAAAGGATGGAGCATTTGCATTCAGACTGGTTAATTCCTGCAAGATAACATTTCATAAACAAAATGCTTCATTGAACATGGAGATTTTTCAGCTTTTACAAAGGAAAGTGAACTTTAAACAAATACAAATCAGTTGAGTGATTAACTTTAAGTGTTTTGGTTTTTTAAAACTAATCTTTATGTATAACTAGTATCAGCAGAACAATCTTTACTGATTAAAGAAGCAAACGATAGTGAAACTCAAGCCACTGAGAATTTAGGGGGGAGGTAGAAGGCGACTGCAAGGAATCATTTAAGGTCAATATGAGAGGGAAAAAAAACCCTAAAACATTTTTAAAAAACTATTAGAAAAACCCCACACCTACTCACAACCCAGTCAGCCTGGGTAAGAAGAGCACCATGGGTTATGCAAGGCAAGTTTAAATTGTGGCCAACGCGAACAGGTTAAGGAGTGAAACTAAACACACTTTCCCCCGCCCCCCCCCAAGCTTTGTCATAATCCTAAATGTTATCTTAATTAGCCTAATTTTCTTAATTATACTTTGAACCAACTTGAGCCTTTGCAGCACAGTTTCAGCGTGGTTTTTTTCCAGCTTTGTTCCAGAGCTGGAAGAGGCGGCGACTCCTCTGCCAAAAGCCAAAGGCCACGTGATGCCTCCCAGGGAGTTTTCTCCCACCTGGGTATTTTCTTCTCCAAAAGCTATTTCTTTCTCCCTAAAGAATCCTACTCCAAAACACAGCAAAAGAAGAGGAAATGATGGGGGAAGAAGCCCCACTTTTCTTAGCCAATGTAAATCCTCTCCGTGTTTTTCCACTTTGTTCAGTGAAAAGCCCTCAGTGCCCAACACTGCTCACAAAAGCTTTGCAGAGTGAAATGAAAAATCAAAAAAGCACGGAAAACAAAAAAAAACCCAACCCAAACCACTTCCATTCATCTACGCCGCAACAATTTCATGGCACAGCTCCTAAAACATCCCATTAGGGCTTGGAGAAGATTAGAGAAGAAAGCTCGAACCCACTGAAGCAAGGCTTAATAGGCTCTCGAGTTAAGCCAGAGCCTTCCCTTAAACAATGCCCATCATTAGGAATAATTACCTGTAGCTGTATAATCAACATGGCTATGATAACTGACATGAGAAGTCCAGATGTCATCTTTGGCAAGGCTTGAGAAATATTTCTGCTCCTTATTATGCAACTGACTCTTAAAAGAGAAACGAGCAAACGAGAAAGAACACCGAGAGTGAAAAGTCACCACGAAACACTGCAGAAGTCCAACCCAACCCTTGGAAGTACAACCAGAGTAAGAACCCAGCACCCAGGAAGGGCGCATGGGTATCCAACACCATCCTGCCCAGCTGCCACACCCCTGGGTTTTAGTCAGACCACTCTCCTCAGCACCACTCTAGACAGGGTTGTTAGAAAAACAAAGCTCAAGATGATGTTGGGATCTACGGAAAAGCTCAGCCAAAACAGCAGAAAGAGGCAGGAGAAACAAGTGTTCAGTGATGGATTATGAAAGGAAGAAAGACAAACCAGCATCAGGCTTCCACTGCACAACAGCCCAACCAGGAAGGACACCACCACTTCTCAAACCTCTGGAGAGCTGCTCCTTAAGGAGCCAAGAAACGCCCACGGCTGTGTTTGGATTGCAGGTGGGTGTTTAAGGTGTCCCACCATCACCATGAGAGAAAAGCAGGCAGGCACAGCTGCCCAGCCTCACTCCTGAGTCATGAAAACACTGAAACAACAATTACCTGCTACCTGAAGAGCTCCTGGAAAACACCAGTTGGAATTTGTGTCTCCAGTAAACACCTAAACTCATACAAACACACTTAAGTTTCTCAGCTTCTCACAGAACATATTTCAAAATCCCACAGACTGCTGCTACATTATGGAAGCAGAGGCTGCTTTTGTTTTTCCTTTCTTTTTGATAATTCTAATGATTTCAGAGACTCATAAACTCTTTCCAGTTGTAAGGAGAGGGTCAGGTCTACCCCTGCTTCCTGTAAACTCCAGCATCCCCATTTACTGCATGATTTCTTCCCCCACAAACAAGTGGCTCCTTAAACCTTAGGAGCTCTTCCTGGCTTTCAGCACTTCAGCCTTAGTTGTTAACCCCAACCTGATTAAACTGAAGTCACAGAGTAATCTCTCAGAGACAGAGTGAAATAAGTCCTTCCACGTGCCTTGCTGTTGCTGGATTATTTGCTTCCCAGCAGCCAATTCTGTACCATAAACTGAAACAGCCCAAGCATAATTAAAAATCCCTTTACAAAGCTCTGTCTAACACAAAAGTTGCCCCAAACTCCCTAAAAATAAATGTGTGAGGCACTTTTAAGCTGGAAAGCAGGTAACTGAACAGCTACAGATCCTCCTGACAGATAGAGATGCACAATTTAGTAGTGATGAATCATGCCTCAAATTACAAGAAACATTAGGGATAATCCCCCAGACAGCACTGAGGTGGATCAATTGACTTTTGTTCCAGCAAAACTATTCCTCCCTATTAAAAAGTACTTTAAAAGTCCAAGAGTTTTGTTAAATATCAATAAAGGCACCAGCAGAACCGTGCCAGTTCCTTGGAGGTACACTCCATATCGTTAAGGCTCATCAGCACAGATTTAACAAATTAAACATCTGGTTAATGACTCAGAAAATACCAATTTTCACTGATGCAACAATTAGAAACCCAAATTTTGGAACAATCAGAAACCTGAAACGGCCAAACTTCCTTGTAACTCCTGATAACAGCAACAGCACTTTCCACCTTCACACAAAGTCTGAGAGGGAGCAGGAAGGGAAGGGGCTCTGGATGACCATTTCAGCACGATTAAAATGTGTGTTCATGCAGCACACTGTGTTCTGGGGTGGCTGCTGGGACTCCAAGCAGCCTTGCCCTTACCTGGATGGCTTTGGGAGCTCATTGCTGGCAATGTCTAGTCCTTGGGAGAAGGGACTGGAGACAGATCAGTTCCCACAGGAGTAACAGCAGCTCAAAAGAGCCCCAATGCTTCACCAATACATAGGAGTGGGAAGTGGGGATTAAATCATGGCCACCTTGTAAAATCCAGGGCACAGTGACATGCTGAGTCAGGTGGGAAGTAATCCAAGAGGGTGGCAGAGTGTCTTCCAATGGCTTTTAAAATGGGAACCTGCAATTAAAGAAAAAGATGTCTGCATTAGCAAATGAAGATTAACAGCCATTTAAATTGTACATTATATAACCTATTTATCCTTGAAATTAAACTACAATGCTATTTTAGGCATTAAGGGCTGCAGAGAGTAATTTTCAGAGTTGTAAATGTTACTTTGATTAATAACCATAAAGATGCAGATTAATACTTAACATTATTAAAAAAAAAACAAACACAACTTTCCAACGACACATTCAAGCCTCAGAAACCCAAAATTCCATGTTAATTCTCATCCTCCAACAGCACCATATGAAGCCACTTCAGTCCAACAGCTTCCATATTTTAAAAGCCATATGTATGAGTGGTAACTGTACTTCACGCATCTGTTCCCCAAAGAAGTCTAAAGAAAAATTCCTCAGTGCCAAGAAGTGGTCTTGGAGCAGGAAGGAAAAAAAACCCACACAATCAATTCCACTCCCACTCTACCCAAGCCTCCAGCAGATTACTAAGACACAGCTCCATACTGCCCCAGGGGAAAAATATCCACCGTTACCAATTATTTTGAAGCTGTGTAGTAGAGGGAGGGAGGGAGAGAGAACAGGGGGGAAATAACCCACAGAGTCAGCAACCCCTGGCCCCTGCCCTGCAGAATATGGAAGTATAGAAGCAGTAGATAGCCTAGCTTGGAGAAACCCCACCTGAGACCCACCATGCTGATCTAACCAGCCACCCTTATACCAAAAGAACATGCTCAAATTCAGTTTTGAGGGGGGTGGCGGTATCAGGGTTTTTTTGGCACTAGACCAAGTGACATGCAGTATTTCCCATCCTTGGAAGTGTCCAAGGCCAGGTTGGACAAGGCTTGGAACAATACGGGATAGCGGAAGGTGTCCCTGCCCATGGCAGGGGCTGGAATGGGATTGGCTTTGAGGTTCCTTTCCACCCAAATCATTCTGGGATTCCTGAGCATCCCTGTTCTGCAGGCAAGCTGTCTCAGGGACTCTCTGCCCGGCATCACCCAGCGCTGGGGTGAGATCACCCTGCTGGCAGGAGCCAGCTCCAGCCCATCCCCAGGGATCCAGCTGACTCTGCTCACCCCAAACTGCTGATCCCAAGGAGTGGTGCCCTGCAGCACCACCGGGGCGGAGGATGGCTGCGATGGCAGCTGCGATGGGCACGGCTCCTGCCTTGCACAAGGAGCATCTGTCCACACTGGGGCTGTGCCACGGCATTTCAGGCAGTGCTAGCTATTCCTGGAAGAGCTCTTAGCACACTCAGATTTGAGCAGTCCTTTCCAAGAAGCAAAACCAGGTCTGAGACTTCCAGCACCAGCACGGCCGCTCAGGATGGGCCTTCTAAAGTTACTTCCCTGATATGCAGGAAAATGCCCCAGCAGGCAGAGCTGAACACAGTCCTCTCCTTGCTGTGCTTCATAAAAAGCCCTCTTTAATTGGCTGCTTCTCTGCAGCCCAAGTGTTTCAGCATCGCCACTCTCCAAGTTCCTCTCTGCCCATCTTGCATTCTTAGAGACCTGGAACGCATTCCATGTTAAATTTGCGTCAAATTCAAGAGAAAAATCACTTAAATGTCATTTCTAACCCCTGCAGGTCTCTGCCATCCCAAATGCTCAAGATGTTCCCCTCCGATTAATCAGCACATCCTGTTAAACAGAGCTGGGTCAGCTTAGACCAGGCATTAGCAAGATACTAACATAATTTATTTCCATTAAAACCAGCAGGTACTATTGTAGCATAAGCCATCTCAGCTGTAGACAAGAAGGATTTGGAGTGGAGTTACCAGATCTCTGCGTCCTCATTTTCCCAGCAAAAGAATGAAAATGTGAGCGTGAACAGTGGAAAGTTTCCCAAAGAAACTGGCCTGAATCAGCAGCACCAACCAAATCCATTCACCAGCACGTATTTATTCCTACTAACAATCCATTCCTACTTCTGCCCCACCACTGCAAGTGTCTGAGGCCAGCGGCTTGGAGCAGCCTGGGATAATAGGAGGTGTCCTTGCCCATGGCAGGGGGTGGGATGAAATGGATTTTAAGGACCCTTCCGATCACTCTGTGATTCCGTGATTCTCTCCAGCAGTCATGTCCCAAATTACCTCCCCCAAAACTGTAATTTTCAGGTAGCCCTTGCACTGATCTCCATGCAGACCAGTGAGCTGCTGCCAGGCCTCCACCTTCTACAATTCTGTAAATTTGTCCTCTTGCCACTGTCTCAAGGAAAATACTCCCTAAATTAAAGGAAGCAAAACACCGTCTATCCCTATGCCTCATATAGCAGGAGGTATAGAGGGTTTTCCAAGCAAATTATCTCATTAAAAAAAAAAAAAAACCAAAAAAAAAACCCCAAGTTTGTTTAACTTCTGCTCCAGTGCCTCCGGGGACAAGGGCAATCACCTCTGGCCTGAGGAACAACGAGTCCACGCCGAGCATCATTCCAGAGGCACATTCCCGTCCGGCACGGGCAGGCACTGGCTCAGGGCCACCTGCCCACTGCCACCCCGCTCGCAGGAGAAAGCCCAGACGGGCACAGCGAGGTGCACCCCTGGCTTTTGGGGGGCCAGGGGCACCTCAGGCTCCCCTGGGCTCCAGCTGGGAGCAGAGATGGGCACAAAGAGTCAGAGCCTGCCATAAGCCCCAGGATCGCCTGCTGGCCACGGGAGCAGGCCTGGCAGACAGCAAGCAAGGCAACGGGGACCCTGCCAGGTTTGCCAGGGCCACAGGGACTGTGCCAGGCTTGGCACATCCCTGGGCACAGAGCAAAGGAAGGGCTTGGGAGAGCATCCATGGACAGGGCTGCGGGTGGCACTGCGGGACATGCCCAGCAGAACTGCAGCTCAAGCCAGCAGGTTTGTCAAACATTATTTAATCAGGACTGGGATCATCAAGTTTCCTGCCTCACAGGAGGATTTTCAGAGTCTGCACACTGCTGGATTTTTAAAAATCTCAGGAACAGCACAAGGAACCACTTAATGCCTGCTTATTTCAGCCTGCTTCTAGCAGGACACATCTGAGAGCACAGGCTCCCTAAAACCACGGGGGCTGCTGTATCAGCAGCTATGTCCTCATCACATCCCTGGGCCAGAGGGTGGCCGTGGTCTGAGAGTGCTGCCACCCCCCTGTAACAGCCCCAGAGGAGCCTCTGTTCCTGCAACACAGGCTGAGGGGCCGCAGCCCCTGCGTTTCTCCCTGGTTTGGTGCCTCAGCCAACCACCAAACCTCACAAGGCGCCTTTCCTGGATTTAAAGTAATTCCAGATCTTCTCTTACCCCAGCAGAAAGCTTGTGTTGTTGTTGTTGTTGTTTTATCTTACAGTTCTGCCACAAGAATGATTTGTTGATAGGAGGCCTGGAGCAGCTCCCCTACAGAGACAGGCTGAGAGAGCTGGGGCTGACCAGCCTGGAGAAGAGAAGGTTGTGTGGAGGCCTCAAAGCAATATTCCAGGATCTGAAGGGGCTGTGAGGAAGCTGAAGCAGGACTCTGCATCAGGAACTGCGGTGAGGGGACAAGGAATAATGAGTTCACACTGAAAAGAGTGGGAGTTTAGGTATTAGGAAGAAACGCTGTACTGTGAGGGGGGTGAGACACTGGCACAGGTTGCCTGGGGAGCTTGTGGATGCATCCCTGGCACTGTTCAAGACAGGTTGGATGGGGCTTGGAGAAACCTGCGATAGTGGAAGGTGCAGGGGAGTGGGACAAGATGATCTTTAAGGCCCCTTCCAACCCCTTTATGGTTCTGTGATCCTGTGGGAGTACGAACATTCACCTTCCTCCTCCCAGCCCCTTCCAGCTTTGCCTCCAGATGTGCAGCAGCCACGAAGGACAGTCACCACAGGACTTTATTTAGAGCTGGAACTTTCACAGCTTTAATTGGTCTTCAGCCCCGACAAGAATCTTGGCCTGGGGCTGGGGTTCCAGAGATGAGTCAGCCAGGTTCCTGGGGACCAGGAGCTCTGATGCCCCAGCTCGATGTGACACAGCAGCAGGTCCCTCGGTGGAACAAAGGGATGCTGGAAGGCCTCCCACATCCTGGCTATCCTCTAGGAGCACCCCAGCACTGTAGGGTTTGCTCTCCAAAAGCCATGGAAACTCCACCACCAGCTTCCAAAAGGTGCCACCGCCGATCCTTCTGCCTGGCACAAATCGATTACAAGATCATTTCCCCCCACCCAAAATTACCTTCCTCTCTGCACTTAGAAGCAAACAGCCCTGAGTTTACACAAACACACCGAGCTGAAGGGAGGCACAGCCTCTCTCAGAGCTTTATTGATTAAATCTCTCCTTTGACAACAGATCCTGCACTTTAACCAGAGGGGGGGAAAGCTGCCTTTGCTTTTCAGGGTTTGTTTATAAAATACTGCCAATATAGAATCTGTACATGAAAGGAGGAGGGAAGAAGAGGCTTAGGGGTGCCTGGAAACAATTCACCGTGACCACAGGGAGATTTACTGCATCTTTATTTAGAATGATGGAACAGCTTGGGCTGGAAGGGACCTCAAAGCCTACCTCACTCCAAACCTCTGGCATGGGCAGGGACACCTTCCACCAGGCCAGGCTGCTTTACTTAGAGCAGAGCCAATGTGGAACAGCCTCCCGAGCTTGCCTGCCTTCCAGGGACCACATTTCCCAGCCATCACTTTGCAAGGTGACAAAAGCAGTGGCAGCAGTCCCCAGGACCCCACAACCCTGTGACAACATCCCTTCAACTCCCGTTTCTCCAGCAGAACACAGCTTCACTGGGTCAGTCTCAGGAGAGCAGGTTTCACAAGCGCTGCCCACTGCCCTGAAGTGCTGCATTGCCCTATAGCTCCAGCAATACTCAGACCTCTTCCAGGACATGTATTTGCAAGCCTCAAACACCATCAGACACCCTCCTCAAAGAGTTTGGAGTCTGTGAGCAGTTCTCTGTCTCAAAACACACACCAAGAATAGCAGGTGACTCTGTAAGATGTACTATCAGCTAAATGCTCAGATGTGGCCAGAAGATCAACTGGATTACCACAGA